TTAATGGCCTCTTGGGGGTACGGCAGGGGAGACTGGGGAAAACTGGAGGAGCTAATAACAAGGAGTGTAAGAGAAAGAAGATGCTCTCATATTGATCATCCAACTCTTCATGACATGGCGGAACTATGGAATTGTACGGTATGTGGCTTATGTCCCAATAAAACTATTTCTTAAAGATATGTGTATGATTTGTTATTATTCATTTCTTATATGGTTTTCAAAATAAAATGTAAAAGCAATAATGTCTTCAAATCTGGGGGGTACAGAGACTAGGAAAACCAATGCTCCTATGGCTCCAGATTTCTCAGGTATGTCTGGCACATGTATTGTGCCTCTTCGAAGGACCATCTGGGCCCACCGCTGACACGTGGAGGTATTTCACCTGAGAAAGGATGCAGCGACTGAAGAAAAACAGGTTGAGCAGCTCCCTGGAAGACATAGCTCTCTGTTTGAAAGTAAGTTTATCGTTTGCTTCCTGATCTGTTGGATCTTTTGAATTTACATGCCACATGTATGAGAGAGAAAAGTTCCCTTTTACAGAAATTTAAGATTTTAAGAAAGGCGAGGGGATATTTCACTAATGATCTACAGGATAACTCAACATGATCCCAGCAGCCAAGAACAAGTTGATTGAAGATAAAAAACAATTCCTATAAGTTAGGAGACTGAGGTATCTGGTCGCAATTCCCAATTCCTAATGTAAATTTCAGAATCAACTCTACATAAATGATATATATATATATATACATATAGTAAATTACCTATTATGGGTAAAGTCCTAGAAGTGAAGTAAGATGGCAATATTATTACTGTAATTATTATTAGGAAAAAAATCAAGATAAATATCAGGAAAAAAATTAGACCCTTCAAATAGACCAATGAGAACGAGGAGGGGGCATGGGGAGGAGGGGGCTCATCACATGGGAAGCAGATAGTTTCTGCCCATAAAGACGGTCTCTTTATGTAAAGTACCAATGGAGGCAAAGACAGAGACTGATCGAAACCATAATCCTTTCCCACTTAGAATCTGATTATAGACTATGTCTATACAAGGGGGATTCCAGAAATCCATGGAAGCATTATATTATCTTTTACTCCTGTTTTCCTACAGACTTTTGGGAAGCCTCCCTCAGAGATCTCATGGGTGTAGTTATGCTCCCTTCTCTCCTGAGCCACCGGGAGTCGACTGTTCTCACTTCCCCGTGGCCTCACCCTCTTACCTGAATCTCTGGTCTTCACCCAGAGTCTGAATGACTGTAGCTCCACCAAAAGAATGCCCCATTATCGCTATTTTATTCCTATCGATGGAGCCCTGAATGAGAAAGCACAATATGCATTCATACATATATCACAGGGTGCTAGAAGAACAGAGTAAATGCTTTTGCAATTCATGCACTTGTTATTTACTTCATGGGCACGCATGGAAAATACATGTCTATGTGTGTGTGTGTGTGTGTGTATGTGTGCGTGTGTGCATGTATGTGTGTGTGTGTGTGTGTTGAGAGCTTATAAAAATGCAGAAGTGAATGGAATCATTCCTCTAGCCACCCACACTTGAAAGGTCAACATCAATGCTGACTTTGGCACCTGGCACTCTGGGTTTGGGGGTATGCTCCGTCTCTGAGTAGTTAGTGGGCACCTGCTCTGGGCCAGGCCACTGTCCTGGCGTTTTCAATGAGTTCACAGTCTACTGCGGAAGAAAGAGATCCGAAAGCCACACAGGGTGACAAGGAACAAAGACGATACATATCTCGTGTAGTCCAGGGTGAGCCTGTGGGTGTTGTTCGGCACGATGCCTGAGGTGAATCTGGGATGTTAAGCAGGACTTAAAAACATGGGGAAGGCATATAGGGTGACAATTCATGGAGAGAGGAGAGAGTGCTCAGCAGAACAGGCCATCACCTTACACCCTGACCAAAGTACTTCTAGTTCCGTCTCCTTCCGGCTCTCCTCCCAGGCTCCCCTCCACCCCCCCAACACATTTCAGATGATCTCCTAATGATAATCTAGCGATTCTGTTTGATGTTCTCCCACATTTTCTCCCAACCTTTTCACAGATTTGTCACGATCAAGCTGAAAAACATTCAGACCCCTTAGTGGGGATTAGTCGTATTATGGCTGCATGGTGTTGAATGAAATATTAATTAATATGATCATGTAAGATGTATTAAGTTGAATCTATTGAAAGAGTCACTTTGGTGGGCTAAAACCAATGAACTATTGTCCACGTCACACGTATGACAAGGTCCCCGTGATCGTAAGATGTTTTTATCTGTGCACCTTGGTATTTGCAGCCCTTCATCATGCTGTCCCTTGTATTACAGACGAAGAACAGACGCTAAGGAACTAGAGCGAAAAGGGAAACAGGCTTTACAAGGCTCACCTTCAGTTGTTTGAAATCAAACTCTGAATCGATGGCGTTCTCCACTGGTTTTCCATTCTCAAGGTCAAGAATCAAATCGAGAGCTTGAGAGCATTCCTTCGCTCTCTGCCGCACCTGAACACGATTAGGAGGAGGAGGAAGTGACCCAGTTGAGAAGGGGCTGCTCTTACGTTAAAGTCCGTGTGGAGACTGCATGCGGGGAAATCAGTAGGCTGATGATGACCTCCACCTTGAAGAGGGACTTGGGTCCTCCGTGCGAATCCTGACAGACCTCAGATAACTCACCTAACCTCTCTGAGCTTCCATGAGCGTTTGCTAATGCTGCCCTCAATGAAACGTCACCCACGGCCATCAGGGCAATTTCAACCCAGGACTGAGTAGACGTGCCCCTGTGGGTTTCTGGAGGCTGTACAGCTTGATAAGAGTAGAAAGCCTCTTCTTGCTCCCGAGGAGGGGCCGGTGGTTTCCAGCTGCTGACCTTGCAGTTAGCAGCCCAATGTGTAACTCCAGGGTCTAGACCCCCAGGGTTTCCCAAAGAACTGTGGGTAGGATTCAATCTGACAACATACATGAAGTACCCACTACAGGGCTGAACACCAAAGGGGCAATCAGTGAACTTCCTTTCACTTAATCGTCCCCAATAATCCCCAGGACAGACACTTCCTAGTTATTATTTTATAACAGTAAACGGAGGAGGCACAACAAGACTGATGAACTTGTTCAAAGATCACTGTTAAATGATGGCCTGGAGTTCAGCCTGAGACACCTGAAGACTGAAGTCTGTCCCAGGCAACCTCTCTGAAAGGAAGGCTTTTTAAACATTGCTTTGGTGAACAGTCTAAAAAAAAGGATTTTCTTTGTGGGTCACCAGACTGCCTCTCCTCCCATGGAGTGTACCTGGTTGTTCCGTATAGCTGCGTCATCCTCGCTGCTGTTGATGGTTCTAATATAGAGCCAAGACTTGTCCCCTTCGGCTGCAGCAGACTCGTCCTTGAAATAGTATGTTGCTGATGCAGATTCATCTCTATAATCCAAACAGAATCGATGACTAGGGACTCTCTCTGTCCCTTCCCCATCTCCCTGTTCCTCATCTGCATCCTTGACTCCACTGCCCTCTGATCTTTCTGACTTCCCTTTCTTCTTCTCTTCGTGTGTGTGTGTGTGTGTGTGTGTGTGTGTGTGTGTGTGTGTATTCCAAGATATGCCTAAAGGAGACCTAGAGAGAAAAACAAACAAGCAAGCAAGCAAACAAACAAAAAACCCCAAACCTTAATGTGATGGGTAATCCAGTCAATATGTACTGTTATGGAAGGTGCTACCAGTCATGTTGGAAGGTCACCTTGAAATCTCAATGCCTCCACTTGTTAGCAGCGACACCCTGAGCCCATCATTGACCTCCTTTCTACTCCAATCCCACCTCTTCCAAACAGAGATGATCTTCATTAACATTACTGTGTTTACAAAGCTAAGGGGCAATGTTATGGGAAGATACTCAGCACAGTACCTGGCCCACAAATCTGCGTGTCAGAAAGATAGCTGTTTTGGCTTTTTATAAATTCTATCTATTTCCCCTTGTTCTCCCGTCTGCCTAGTCAACAAGGCTGTCACTGTTTTCATACAGCTTTCTGAAATGTAGGCATGTGGACACACACAGCCCCTTTATTTGTCTCAAGACCCCAGCTCCATTCCAGGGGACATACCTGTGTTCCACAACAGCAACTACGAGTCCGTGAGATGCCAGGTCAATGGCGACAGCGGAATAAATTGTCCTTCGAAGCAAAGAGAGGGCAGCATTCAACCACCAGCCAGACGGAATGAGAAAACGTGACCACAAGGCTAGATGCATAACACAGCTAGGACCTTGGAGACGATCCCACCCTGTAATAACGCCTTAGAGGGGTGAGGTGTTCGAAAAGGAGGGGGGCTACTTTGACCCCGAGAGGAGATTCGCAATGTGGGAGGCATTTTCCTTATCGGGACTGGGGAGAGAAAACTACTAACAAGTCGTGGCTAGAGGAAGGCTTTGAAGCAGCCTGCAATCAATGGGACAAGTCTCAACTGTGAAAAACGCTGGTTCAAAATGTCAATCATATTGAAGTTGTACCTTTGACAGCTCTGAGTTTTAACCTTAGCTCTGCCACTTACCAGCTAGGACTATAGATAATCGTCACCTCATGCTGTCAAGTAAATGCTGGACTTCTAACCTCACGGTCAAAGAGTTCAAACATACCAGTCCCTCCTCAAGACAAAGATGAGACTCTGCTCCCATAAAGATTGAGTCTTGGAAACCCTAAATAGGCTCACTATGAGTTGGAATCTACTAGATGACTGTGGTGGGTAGGAGTTAATTATACTATTTTCTGAGTTTTGTCTGCAGCTTTAAAATGGGGCTAATAAAGGCATTGGGTTAGGGTAGTGGCAAGGTTGTGATAAGCTCATGTCTGTAGGGGGTCCTGCAGTCTGGTGGTGAGGAGATTGGGACCTACAGTGTCAACACCTAGTTTCAATCCTAGACCCATCTCTTACTCACAGGGCCACTTGTCAGTTTGTTCCCAGCTCTGGTTATCTGCCTGCTAACGAGTCCTACCATAATAGGCTGGTCCTTCACAGGATTATTGTCAAAGATCAAGTGACTTAATCTCTATGTCTGAAACACATGAGCTGTCATGGAAGTGATTGGGCCGGATGAGAAATCAGAGCCGAGTTCGATGAAACGACTTCTATAAACTGATTCACTCTGCTGTAGCTCAAATGCACCTGCAGATAATGCAAACCGTGAAGGGGTGGCTGCGTTCCCATAAAACCTCATTTATAGAAACGGGCAGCAGGCTAGATTTGGCCCTTGGGCTATAACTTGGCAATCACTAGTCAAGTATAAATCAAATAACGAGCTGGGCTACTACAGTTAGAGGCCTGAATATAATTCCTTATGACAGGTGATACGCAGCTTCTTCGCACCTAAAACCACCATGTATTTTCTAGAAGTCTTCGGATCCTCGCAGGGGGAGGCAAGGGAAGCAAGGGGAGAGAGTGGAGGAGATGTGGTGGTCAAGGCAACGTACCTCTCAGACAAGCTGCTGGCCGCAGAAAACCCATTTGACTTAAGACCCAATTCAGCTCTTGCTCCTCAAAACTGACTACCACACAAGCTGAAGCCAAGCTTCCTGCGGGCGGCTCCCAGCTAATGCCTACGGGTGGTGCTAAGGCATGTCCATTTCTGTAAGATGCAGGATTCATGTGAGGAGTGTCTTGGGCTCAATATTTCCTCCATTCGTCTGGCCCAAACGTTCATAAAACTGGGTTACAGTCTAAGGCCCTTCTTCGTCAGTCTCCTCCCTCCCCCACGTCCCTCCCAGGTATACAACCTATATCATGGTCCAAGCTATGGTGCTGTAGCGATGATGGGCTGGGCTGGAATCCGCATCGCTGGCAGTACAAAACCACCCACAGCTTCTCGAGAGAAAGACCGGGCTTCCCGACAAATGTGCTACTTTTCATGAACCCTAGGACACTGTCAGTAGTTGACTGCTCATGAGCCACAAAACTGTAATCTCACATAATCTTTCCCTAGAAATGTTCCGGCAGTCTCTACTAAATGAAGACACTCCTCTATCCACGGCAGTATCCTCCTTGATTAAAGCTTCATCTCCTTCTATATGTGTTCTCTACAGAAAACGCAGGTAGTCATAGTACCTACGTTGTTGGTTTAGTGGGAGGATGAAATGATTTCTTATACCCAAGCCTTAGTAGAGTGACTAGCCCAGAGTAAGTGTCTCATCACTGGCAGTTATTTTCTCTGGTATCGTTGGTGTAGTGGTTACACGTTGGGCTACAATCCACATGGTCAGCTGTTCAAAACCACCAGCAGCTCCGTGGGAGAAAGACTGGGCTTGCTACTCTCATAAATGGTTATAGTCTCAGACACCCACAGGAGGTCTTGGCTAAGAGTCAGCAATGACTCGATGGTAGTGTGTTTTTGAGTGCGATCATGGTCTACAGTCTCTCCCTGCCTTCCCTGGCTCCCTTCCCTTTGTGCTTCACGGGCATTCTGCTCAATAGTTATCTTGCAGAGTTCGTCCAGCCTTGGTGTCTGCTCCTTGAAAGAAGAGAACAAGCATGAAGGATGATTCTGGGAATGTGAATACTATCACATCAAAAATATCCACTACCGGAGAGCCTATTTTGAAATTATCCAGACCCTAATATGGAGGGAGGTGATCCTCTGTCGGGAAGCTAATCATCGGGAGCTGAAGGACGAGAGCCAACCACATGTACCTTGACTGGATCAGTGGACCACAGCCAATTCTTTGGGATCCCCAACTCCTCTGTGGTGTGTGTGTGTGTGTGTGTGTGTGTGTGTGTGTGTATTCGGTCATGGATCCCAAAGAATAACAATCGTTCAGCTTCTCATATAATTACCTGAAGGTGGCGAGACCAGAAGAGAAAACAACAAGGGGGTACTTTTCACCAGTCCTCAGAGGGGCATTCAACTTTGCTGGAATTGTCACGGAACCTACAGCATGAGAGATGACCGTGAGTCTTTCCCCTGCCTTGAACATTGCTAGTCATTTTAACATACATCTGTAGCGCACCAATGCCTGACTCATGGAATGCATGTGTTTTTCTAGATTAATAATGAATTTTAATTAAATTTTTTATTTTAAATATATATATGTTTTAAATTAATCGTTTAACTGAAGGGCTCTTAAAAATCTTATAACAATCCATCATTCAATCATATTAAGCACCCTTGTACCTATGTTGCCATGAGCCCTTGGTATCAGCTCCTTGAATTTTTTTTTTTTAAGTCAGCTACTGGGTACCCCTCAACCCAAGATTTGAATCGTATGTTCTTCCCTAAGACCATCCTCCCTTTGAGCCATTGAGCCCATCCCAATGCACAGTCCCCTACAGGCCAGATTCGAGGCTCCGCACAGTTTTCTAGGCTGCAATCTTTCCACCAGCAGACTGACACATTGTTCGCCCGCAGAGGGGCAGCAGGGCCAAACCACTGCCCGTTCAGTTAGTGACCCAGCACGTAACCACTACACTCCCAGGGCTCCTGCCTGAGACCATGCGATCATTATCTGGTCAGTTAGTTCTCAATGTATACCGGCGGCTTGCTCCTCCCTAGAAGGCTGCTCCTGATGGCCGTTCCCAAAACTTGACAACCCTGTAGAGTGAATGTTCCAAAGCTGAACTTACCCTGTTGCCTTTGTTTTCTATGCTGCTACAGCAGGACTATCGCGTGTAAAATTCATTTTCTCACCGTTTAGGAGGCAACAAGTATATATCCACGGCACTCGCTCTAAGGAAAGGAGCTTATTGGGTAAGCACTGGACGGTTAACCTCAAGGCCATCAGTTCAAATCCACTAGCCATGGGGAAAGCTGAGGTTGTCTGTTCGAGTAAAGATTGACAGCCTGGAGCCCCTTCTACAGGGTTGCTTTGAGGCAAGATTGACTTCATGGGAGTGGGTTTGGTTTGGGGGACGGACTGTAGGGAGAAGCCTTCTTATCTATTTTAGTTTCCAGTAGCCTACAACCCCTGGAGTCCCCAGGCTTATAGACTCTTCAGCTTCCACTGTCTTCAGCTAGTCTATACCTTCACCACCTACATGCACTTGCCAAGGCGTTGAGGTTGCTGCTGGACAACGCTGAATGGATTCCAACTCATAACAACCCTCCATAGGGTTTCCTCAGCTGCCATTTTTACAGGAGCAAATTCCCATGCCCTTCTCCCTTGGAGCCGCTCGGTGGGTTTGAACTGAAGAAAGGCCTTTTAGTTAGCAGCAGGGTACTCGGTCACTGCCCCATCAAGATGCACCTCCTATCCTGCAGCAGGGATTAGGTGTAGGGCATAAACCACACCCATGAGACCTAATCCACAGAACCAAAAAAAACCCCTTTCCAAGTAGAATGAGGTCCACATGTGTAAGGGTAGGATTCCAGCACATATTTTAGGGGACATAATTCAAGTCATACCACCAGGAAGTTCAGGAATATTCCACTGAGAAACAGAACCTGGGGACTGGAGACGTTGCTCAGTCAGCCTGGTCACAGCCCAGTCAAAGGTAGAATGAGCAGGGACCTCCTGACTCATCTTTTGCTGCGTACTGGCAATTGGCCTCAGACAAGTGACGGGGACTCTGCATTCCAGATTCCTCTCTTACACAGTGGGAGAAAACAGCATCTCTCTCACAGAAGTGTTGCGAGACTAATATTTAATTATAGTATAGTATAATAATATTTAATTCCCTTATAAGGAAAGCCTCCAGTCACACAGGAAACCATGTTAAAAGGACGGGAGGGATGGTCTTCCCTTGTCTTGGTACCGCTGTCATTGCTCTCAGCGAACCCTTCCTCAGAAATAGAGAAGTCTTCATAAAGGCGGTGGAGATGGCTAGGAACAGTGATTCCAGCTGTGTGGTTGCTGCTCTTGAGGCGGACGGGACTCACAGTGGCCCCGCGTGACCGAGCAGAACAGCAACAAAGGGTTTTCTGGATGCAGATGGGGAGGTCTTTCCCTCGTGGATGGGTTCAAACGGCCAACCCTTTGGTTAACAGCCAAGTGCCTACTCACTGTGCCACTACAGCTTCTCTTAGAAGATAGAGAAGATACCTCAAAGCAAGCAGTTATAACCTTATCATTTTTATTATAAAATGTTAAATTAAGTGCTAAATTAAACCTTATCATTTTTATTATAAAATGTTAAATTAAAAAAAAACACAGGGATGTTTAAAATGAATCTAAAATATTGCAGATAGTTTTGAGGATGTTATTAACATGGGTTAAACAGTGGCATCTGGTCAAACCCGTCAGGAAGGAGAAGTCTGTGATGGGGTGAAGTAGGTAAGTGTAGTGAAGGATACACACAAGATTATCGGGGTGGTAGTGCGATCTTAGTGAGGGAGACTGGTCCTGCAGGAGGTGGGGACTGGCATGAGAGTCTAGTCTCTCTCATTTATGACATTGATTAAGGTGACCAGATGTCCCGCTTTTGGCGTGACAGTCCCGATTTTTAACAATTTTCCCCACGTCCCTCAATGTTTGAAAAAAGTCCCGATTTTTGGAAAGAATGCACGACAAGATAGGTTATACGGTTTTCGGCTGCCATGTGGCTATTTCGCCAGGCTATGAGTTTTATCCACGGTGTCCCGCTTTTGTCTCACTTTACCAATGTTAAAATCTGGTCACCTTAACATTGATGGAACATTTCTTTTAGATCTTGAGCATCATAGTTTTGTTTTTTGCTTTCTCTCTCTCCCTTCTGCCTTCATTCCCTCCCTCCTGCCCTTCCTTGTTCCCTCCTTCCCTCCCTCTGCTATTCTCTCTTTTCCACCTCCCTTCTCTTCCTCGCCTTCTTTTCCTGGCTTTAGAACAGTGGTTCGCAACCTTCCTAATGCTCCTCCCCTTTAATACAGTTCCACATGTGGTGGTGACCCCCCAACCATAAAATTATTTTCATCATCATCACTGTCATTTTGCTACTGTTATGAATTGGGCAACCCCTGTGAAAGGGTCAACCCCCAAAGTTGTCATGACCCCCAGGTTGAGAGCCGCTGCTCTAGAAGGATCCTAGCATACCAGCCCATGTGCTCCTCTCCTGGCATTGGAGGAAGGGCATGGAAGAGCAGTCCTGGCGGATGTTAGCGCCAGTCTGCTCCTCTCACGCTCTCACACATCAGATTCAGAAAGAATCCTTGCTGTTCATACAGTGGCCTGGGCTTTTCAGAAGCATTTTCTTTGCCATCTTAGGGGAAGTTTAGGTAGGGAGAGATTGACCTGGTCTTTAACTGCCTGCAGGGCTTGCTTGCTGTTTCCCAGGTGTGTTGTGCTTGTTTAACTTCCAGAGAGTACAAAGTAAGAGCAACAGAAACCTTACCAAAGATTATGTCCAAAACCTTGGCCATCAAATCGTGTGTTCCCAGAAATTTACTAATCCCCTTAAAGTATTCTTTGTTCGGGATCCAAAGAGCATCCCCACGGTCCTCGTCTTGGGATGGATAGTACAGACGCAAGAAGCTGCCCTGTTGAGACAGAAAACGTAGAAGCACCTGCAACGTTGCTCCTCAAACAGATCCCAACAGGTCTTTTGCACATGTAGCTCGCGAGGGCCCTAAACATTTGAAGCCGCTGTGACGGTGACTGAAAACCGCTAGGACCTGAAGAAGGGATACAGAGCAATCTACTTATGAAGAGAAAAGAAATGATAAGCAGCGTGGCTTTCGCCACCAAGGAGAAGGCACACAGACAGGCTGCGGATGAGTCCAGCAGCGGACAGCAAAGAACTAGGGAACGGCTGAGCTCGCCGAAGCCTTCTGACGCTGCCGCACACATGGCCAAGTTCTCAGTGTCCATTGCCAACAGCCCCTAGTGGGGCATCACACGAGGCAGCAGGCAAAGCACGTACAGAGAAGTTGTTGTAGTCATCGAGCGTTACCTTGTTAGTGTGGTCGAACATCAAGTCTGCACAACCCACAGGATAATCTCCTTTTCCCCTGGGAATTTTATTGTGGTTTAAAGAGGCCATCAAACCTTGCAGGTTATCCAGTTGCGTTAAAACAAAAGAACAAAAGACATCAAAACAACAGGTCAATATCGGCTCATTTGTCATCAACTCCAGCCCTGACTCGATTATGCAAAAGAATTCCAAGGGCAGCAAGGTAACAGGCCTGCTTTCTGGTCCCCCTGTTTCCAGCACATACAATGATTGAGGCCCTGGTGTGTGCAAGGCAATGGGGTGGGGTGGGTGGGTAAGGAGGCAGTAAAGGTTGGAGGCAGATATATCCTTTCTGGCAAGGCACGGAGGACATCGACCCCAAAATACAGAAAACCTTATTCGATGCTGATCCAGGTCATGTGGGCAATGCCTTGCCCTATCTGCTTCCATAAACATAACCACTACCCCACAGTTTAGATTTGTGCTTCTAACTTTTCATTGGTCAGATGTGCTTCACATAGGAGCACCAAGGCCCAAGGCCCAACGGGAAATGAAAGGACTCTTCCCCACCCTTCTTCCCTTGCCCCTACACAGTGAAGCCTGAAACTCCTTAAGCCCAATCATACCCATCTCAAGCCAGAATCTGGGAGTCATCCTATTCTCCCACCACATTCTTATTAACCCGAATATCCAACCAAGCCTCAATTTCTTGGATTTGTCTTTGTCTTAGAATTACTTGTTCTAATATATCCTGACCCTCTGGCTCAATTTCTTCTGACTCAACATGCTCACGGTCTTTGGGCCCATCCCTGCTCACCGTCTTATGCACCTTTGATCTACCCATCGCCATATGCATCCTCACACAGCTCCCGTAGTGAGGGCAAGCTCACAAGGCAATTAGCCAATGATTTTTGAGTTATCCTAGAAGCAGGAATGTATCGACATCTTTGGTTGAAGGCAGTCTGCTGTGGGATTCCTATCTGCCAGGCCCTTCTAAGCAAATATATTGGTGACAGAGAGTGGATGCCGTCAGTGGTTGCTGATGCTCTGGCGAGCCCAGGTGTGTCAGAGTAGAATGGTTCCAAAGAATTTTTGTGGCGGTGACCTGTCAGAAGCTGATCACCAGACTTTTTTGCCAAGGTGCCTCCTGGCGGGTTCCCAATGACCCACCTTTCGCTTAATGGTCTAGCTTTCAACGGCGACACCTTCTAGTGTGCTGGGATTGAAGGGCGTGGAGATGCATAGATGTACAAGGTGAATCTCAAGTCCACGGGCAGGCCCTGGGTCTATTGGAGAGAGGTTGCTCACTCTCCCTACCCAAATAATGCACGGTGAACCTTTACGATGCATTTCAGCAGAGAGAGACTGGAGCGGAATATTTTCCCTGGGATTGGATTCTGAACTCTGACCTGTCTAGACAGCTACCCAGGGATTTTTTTAAACAGCTTTACCTGTGAGGCTATCATTTAAGAGTGTACTTAGAACTGTCAGAGGGCCCCCCTATCCTGTGAAAGACCGTCTCCTGTGCCATGCTTCATGGTGTGCCAGGGAGACATCAGACGGAGGATGGCAGGGCTTGTATCTACCTTCCCTTCCAGTTAGGAGCAGCCCATGAGCCAATGTGCCCTGCTCTGCAGACAGCCCTGGCATGGTTAATGAAGGGGTTGCTAGAAGACCTCTACAAGACCGCTGGTGGTATAGTGGTTATGAGTTAAGCTGCCATCCTCGAGGTCAGCAGTTCAAAACCACCAGCTGCTAGGAGGGAGAAAAATAGGGCTTGTTACTCCCATAACAAGTTAGTCTAGGAAACCCACAGGAGCAGTTCTACCTTTTCCTATAGGGCAGGAGGGTCAAACTCAATTAAGATGCAGGCCACCTGGTGCCACAGGCAAGATTCACGCAGGCCACATCACGTCTACAAATTTTGTTAAATTTATATTTTGAAGTGAAGATTCAGGAATATGGATAGGATAATTAAAACACTGTATATATAATTGCTTTTATTTAAACATTTATTTTATTTAAGGTATTTCTAAAACTAAAACTATTCTTTTTTGCCCGAAACTTGCCAGCGCTTTCCTCCTACTAGTTTTCCATTATCTGGATTCAAAGACTGAGAACAGACAATCTTCATTAAGGCAGATAGGTGTTTGTTAGTTGATCTTGATCTGTATGCCATTTTTATTTAATTTAATGGACAAAAAGAGTTGCTCACACAATGGCTGCCCTCTAAAAATGTTAAGTAGCGCCACCGCTAGGTATGATTCATAACAGCACAACTCAGAGGGCTCTTTGTAACATTTTCGCTATTGGGATCTGTTGACATTACGTGACAGTGAGAGTGGCAGACATATCACTTCCAAACATCCCTGGAACTGAGTCAGCACATTTATACACGTCCACAGTCCCACAGGAAAGGCACTGGGTATACTGGGCCACATGTATACTTGTCTTCAGTAGTTAAAAGGTTAATAAGGGAATTGTGTGTACGGTATTTTTTTCTATTTTCATTTTATTTCAGAGCATCACGAGTCACAAAAAATTACCCGAGGGGCCGCATGTGGCCCACGGGCCACCAGTTTGACACCCCTGCTATAGGGTCACTAAGAAATGGCATTGCCTTGATGGCAGTAAGCTGGTTTTTGGTACACATCCCCAGAGAAGGGAACTCGGAGGCTCTGAGTTCCCAGCTTGAACAAGGTTCCTTGTGTGTGAGCTCAGTTGCATCTGGGCCCTGACAACCTTTCCCCACAATCCAGAAAGGCCCTGGTTCCCCCACATCTGCTCAATCTAAGGGGGGCCCTCCACAAATAAAATTAAGGCTCTAGGTTTGTCCATTTCCAATAGGTCTCAGGAAGCTTTAAGTTCACTTAAATGTGAACATGGGTTTTCTGAATTCCCTAGTTGGCCAGAGCCAAGGCATCTGCAGAAAGCGCTCAGCCACATGCAGTTGGCTCAGCTGTGGTCTCGAATCTCTGTACCTATCAGGAGTCATCCTAAAAGAGGATGCTTGTTCAGCGCAATGGCCACACTCCAGATGACAGAGATCTGGGGTCATGGTAGTTACATAATATTTTGTCAATTTGAGGATTAAGAGGGAAGGGGTGGAGTCTAGCCTGTCTATCATTGTATAGCCAATGGGGCCTTTGTGGGGCATGGCCTTCCCCTGGGGATTCTGGGAATTCCTGTATTTTCCTCCTTGGAGGCCAGAGACACTCTCTCTTGGCTCACTCCCTGAAAGACATCCCTGTGGAGAAGACACATGGAGAAAGGCTGATGAAGCCAGATCTCTGGACCTGGAGAAGCCATGTGGAGACCCCTGCCAGCGCTGAGATGCTTACACTGCCACTGGATTCACAAGACTTCCCCCACTGGCCTGTGATTTTCCTGCATTTGGCATCATTGCATGTGTTTCCTGAATCAGAAGAAGAGTTTATAGATTGGTATATATGGGCTAATATCAGACTTATGGACTTGATCTGGACTGGGCTGGAATGTTTTCTCCACATTCAACTGCTTTTATATATAAATCTCTTTCTTATCCACAGTATGAGTCTCCCTAGATTTGTTTCTCTCGTCTACCCAAACTAACATATCTGCTTTCTTTCACTTGTTTATCTAGCTTTTTAGTCTCAACTGGGTGAAGGTTTGCAGAGCCGAGCAGTATTCCCTGTAACAATTCTCACACAGTTAGTTTCAGCTCATGGAATAGAATCCCACCATGAAACACCACTTATCCCACTTTTCTGTGGATCTTGTCTGCATTTGCCTTCTTTTCCTGGACCTGCTGAACTTTGTCCTTCGCTAAATGCTGCCCTTCTGATCCCAGTGTTTGATTCGGCTAAGCTGCTCATATAGATCTACTGCTTAGTAAAATATTGAGCCACGAGGTAAATTCATTTCCAGACCTGCATGGTGACTAGTGGCCACAGTCTCAAGAATTCCGTTAGTTTCTATCCAACCGGCAAGCCAGGTCTTTTTCATGATTTTGAATGTCGTTCTACATTCTTCTACTCTACTCAAAACCACATCAAACCAAAGTCACTTGCATTGAGTCGATGCTGGCTCATAGCGAGCCTGCAGGACAGGGCAGAATTACCCTTGTGAGTTTCCGAGGCTGTACCCGTTGACAGGAGTAGAAATCCCAGTCTTTCTCTGGAGGAGTGACTGGTGGTTTCAAACTGGTGGTCTGTGGATCACAGCCCAATACATAACCACTGCACCACCAGGGCTCCCTAACTCTATCCAGGATCTTCTAATGTGTTCCTTCCTTGCTTTGTTTTACCCTAATGGTATATGATTCTTCCTAACTGTATGCAAGCCAAGAAAAGTACCTTTTCTTGGATGGTTTTATGTCCTCCATTAGCAAATAAGATCTGTTGCGCATATTTAACGGGTGCTGTCGAGTAAGCATTAGACTACCAACCACAAGGTTGGTAGTTCAAACCCACCAGCTGCTCTGCAAGAGAAAGATGAAGCTTTCTAATCCCATAAAGATTTACAGCCTTGCTAGGCTTTTTTTAACCCATATGTATAAGCCTTTTACCAACAGAGTCCTATTTTCTATCTACCCATTTGTGGTAGCTATATAATCTGGTGTCAATTTGAGGATTAAAAGTGAAGAGGTGGAGTTTATCCTTTCAATCAGGTGATTTCTTTCTCTAGTCTACCCGCACTAACACACCATTTAATAAAAATATAATAAACAATGATGCATTATTTTAATCTTTTACTTAATAAACCTTGCCCACTAATTTTGAAAAAAAATAATTATGCATTCATTTGATTAAAAAAAAACTTACAGTGTATGAGGAGGGGGCATTGGCTCACTGTTGGAAATACATACCCGAAAAAAGCCATGTCCCTGTCCTCAGATTTCTACAGTCCCATACCAATTTCCCAAATAATTCTAAACATGAGGGGACATACAACTCTGTACCAAGAAAAAGTGAAACGTGTCATTTTATCCTAGGGGGTCATTTGCCAATTGTGTAAAAAGGCTCTGGACAAAATGAACTTAACCTCAACTAGTCTGTAAAGCTCCTGCAGCTGGACTGCAAGCTTTCTGCCTGAGTCACTGGTGCCCCGAGCTTCTTGGTAAATGCTACTAATGGGATAGACCTAGGAGAGATTATACCAATTAGGCAAATGAAGGTATAAGATACAGCCCTTCTCCTGCAAATGCATTCATTTCCTCAACTAGGGCAGAACTTATTCATGAACCACAGGGTTATGAAAGGTCTTCTGTAAATGTCACACTCAGGAGTCACCTGCCAAGCCTGAACATCTGGATCCAGGTGCACAGGTCTGTAGGCAGCGATTATGTGATGCCATTCAGAGGCCACCCCCGCTGCTCCAATTAGGAGACTAGATAGGGCCTACAGCACCTTCTGAGAATAGCAACAATAGAGGCCCTTCTGTCCAGAGATCACTACCCAGCTCTGGCCAACCTTCCTAGGCTTGCCTAAGCCTTCCTCTATCGCTTCTTCCCTCCCAC